GAGGCTGCTGCCGCCTCCCCCCGCTCCCGCCCAGACCCACAGCTCCCAGCACAGCCACGGCTTCCAAGCAGCACGTCCGGAAGGGTGGCACTGGGCTCTCACCCGGAGGCTCCTGAGCCCAAGAGGGACCCTCTGGGCACCCACCGTCGCAAAGGCCCATGGTCAGACGCAGCAGCTGGAAGGGTTTAGGGTCAGAGCCCCAAATCTCTGCGGTGGACACGGTGCTGGAGGCAGACGAAAGCGCATGCTGGGTTTTCCTGGGGGCAGCTGGCAGAGCAACACGGTCCTGGTGGGGGGTGGCACGCTGTGTCCTCCCATGCTGTGTGCCTGGGGAAGCAGCTCTGAGCTCCTGGCTGGGCCCAGGACGGGACACGCCAGACGATCCTTCAGCCCAGCCCCGGCTGAGATGCAGCGGGTCAGCTGTCAGCAGCCAGCCCAGGGCTTGGAGCTGCGATTTCCTGGAATCACAGGCTGGTTTGGGTGGGAAGGGAGCTTACAGCTCCCCCAATCCCACCCCCTGCCATGGGCAGGGACACCTTCCATTAGACCAGGTTGCTCCAAGCTTCATCCAGCCTGGCCTTGGACACTCCCAGGGATGGGGCATCCACAGCTTCTCTGGGCAACCTGTCCCAGTGCCTCCCCACCCTCTGCGAGAAGAATTCCTTCCTGATGTCCCATCTCCATCGCCCTCTTTCCATTTAAACCCATTGCCCCTTGTCCTGTCACTCCCTGCTTCATTGGCATCAAGGATGCTGAGGGCAAAGTGCCCCCAGCCTGGGGGATGGGGCTTCAGGCACAATCCCAATAATGAAGTTTTTAACCTCAGCTGGGCTGAGAAAAGGTTTTCTCCCTTGTGGTCACCAGCAGCCTGGAGTTATGCCAGGCCAGAGCCCCCCACCTCAGCCCTGGGCTGAGCGGTTCGCACAGTGGTCAGGGTGGGGTACAGAGGGCAGGGAACCCCCTTCTTCCCGGGGATCCCTGCCTGTGCTGCAGCTCCCACAGCCTTGCCTGCTGCCCCAGGGCGGGTTTCCTGCGGGTGTCACTCTATCCCACAGCACCCGTGGGCATCCCCCACAGCAGCCAGCCCTCGCGTGTAGCACCCACGGGGTGTGGGGGCAGCCGGCGCCCCCCCGCCAGGCTGCAGTAACTGCGCAGTCCAATTCTTCTGTGCGGGGAGGGGGGGTTGGTACACAGATAACAAGGGGTTATGGTTTATCGTTTCCAGAATGCTGTACAGCCTAGAGCACTTTTTATAACCTTTTCTATAAAGAATAAGGACCAAAAAGCTTGGCCTGCATACAAGTAAACCGGGCAGGGGGGGGCAGCAGCAGTGGGAAAAGAGCCAGCAGAGCTCCCTGGGCGCCCACAGTAAGGGATTTTGTTAATTATATATAGAGGTTGCGTTTTTGAGCATCTTTTGTGTAGTAACAAGCAAGCCAGGCGGCAGGCGGGAAGGGAAGGCTGCTCCCCCCCATTGGAGCACACCTCCCTCTCCCCCGGCCTCCCCTCCCGCAGCAGAGCCGGGGAGATCAGCATGAAGAGCCAGCAGAGCTCCCTGGGCGCCCACAGTAAGGGATTTTGTTAATTATATATAGAGGTTGCGTTTTTGAGCATCTTTTGTGTAGTAACAAGCAAGCCAGGCGGCAGGCGGGAAGGGAAGGCTGCTCCCCCCCATTGGAGCACACCTCCCTCTCCCCCGGCCTCCCCTCCCGCAGCAGAGCCGGGGAGATCAGCATGAGCAGCAGCTCGTCTTTGCTTGTGGCGAGCATCGCCCAAAGCAACTTCACCCCATTTCCAACCACCCCCCGCTGCCCATCCAGACTTCCCTGCATCACGAGGCAGGGGTGAGCGTGGAGCAGCTCCAGGGCTCAGCGCGGGGCGGTGAGCGAGAGCAGCCAGAAGCAGAGCGCGAACTCGTGAAGAGGACAGCCCTCGCTCGGAGGGGAAGCTGGGGCTCCCGCTCTCCCAGGAAGCCTAAGGAAGCCAGAACAGGCAAGAGGCTGCAACAAACATTCTTTAATCAAGTTACACCATATACAAAAGCTTAGGGTTTCGTGCGGATGAATTTCACTGTTAAAATGCCGATTGCTCCGTCTCAACCTGGGCCTGTTAAGGATCTCACCTGAATTCCTGCGAGAGGCAGGAGCGTGGAATGTTGGCAGACAGACGCAGAGGCCCTGCACGAAGTGCCGCTCCCCCGTGCTCTGTTCTCTCCAGAGAAGGCCCAGGAGTCTCAAACAAGAGAGTCAGGTTGAAGCCCGGCTTTTGGCTTTGGGAAGTTAGAAAAAACCCCAAACTAGGTATACAATTGAAAAATAGACATTCTATTAGGAAGAGGGAACAAGAAACCTTTGGGTAGCAGTCAGTGAACATCATTCCCACAGCATTAGGGCTGCCTTGTGACAACTCAGCCGTCCCCAGGCGCGGGAGCTCTGTGGTGGGATGCTGCGGGCCTGCCCGCCCACAGCTGGCAAGCCTGGCGCAGCCGTCGAGAACGAGGTCTAAGCAGAGGGTTTCGCACAGGCCAAGCCGGACTTCAAACCGAGGAGCTTCTCCACCATGGTGCGAGCGTAGCGGAGCCGGCTGGCCAGCTCCTTGCTGCAGCCGTGTTCCTCGATGAGGCTCAGCTTGTACGTGTGGAAGTCCCGTTTCTCATCGATGTAGGAGACAGCAGCCATGAGCGGGCACAAGATGACCTTAGTGTGGTCCTGTTGGGAGAGACCAGACGGTCACCCCGAGCCCTCTGCTTCCAGGGGATGGCATTTTCTCAGGATAAGCCATCCCAGCAGGAGTTGGGGCATCCCAGGAGGGCACTGACAAAACACCACGCTGCAGCCTTTGTTCAGAGCGCGAAGGGAAACAAACCCATGTGCCCACAAGGCCACTGTACCGGAGGGGGGTGCGGCAGGCTCCCCCCCTCTGCAA